ACTGGGTCTGAGTTATTCAAACGCATTTCGGCAGGAACAGTTCCTCACTGAGGACGGCGCAATGCCGAAACGTTTGAATAAAAAAAAGAAAACGAACGCGATTGGAGACAGACCCGGTAAGTGACCATGTGCCGGTTAAACATCAATTCGGTCTGTTGAACTTGACAGCTTAGTCTAGATACTGGCTCATGTAGGCATCTGAGTTGTTGTTTATTATGTTATTGTCTTTTTAATCTAGTATGTGGGTCTAGTATTCTAGTAAGCCTGCTTTCTAAATAAAGCTTAGGTTAGGATTTGAGTAGATGAAGAAATTAACTTAATGCTTGGTGCACTGATGGGCAGGTCTGGAGTTTGAGCGTAAAGCAACGTGATGACACCGGTGCACCAGTCAATAATGAGTCTAGGTCTTGAATTACTTACGTTGCAAGGGTAGAGAAGGAGAGTGTGGCAGGTAGTGATTTGTGTGTTAGAATTTGTGGAAATTTCAGCAGTGTAAATTGTGTCGAGGATTTTTCCTAGGATACTTCCTTGCATTACGCCAGTTTTGATTCGCATGATGCGTTAAAAGTCAGATCCCGATTCTCATTCACACCAAAAGGTTTCGGACTTTATGGACGATATAATACATGTGAAGCAGGATAATTTTAACTTGAAAAAGAGACCGGTGTGTCAGTCGAATGCTTTCGAACACCCACATATATGCCCGGGCAATTCAATACTACTTGTTTTCTAGAGCTGAGGATGTCGGGGGTCGATGACTTGCTTTATGTGCAGTTGATCACTAACGTTAGACGTCTCCGATCGTTTTGGTCTGCCTATGCTTAGACTTTTTGAGCTGTGTAGAATGCTTATATCCCGAACAATCCCTTGTAATCGAAGCTGATTTGTTTTCACATTACATAGATTCAAAATAACTAAACATTATCACTAATTTGCTTGTTTCCCGGTCTCCCTGCCTGCTGAAAAAGCTGCAGAAAACTGCGCTTCTTCATCTTGACATTAAGACATCTTCAGTGGTGGTTTAATACTTTAAAGTTTAGAATAGACGTCGCGCAAGTCAGTAAGCAAAAAGTTAAATATTGTAATTTTAACAATAACATAATTTTGCAACCAGGAATATCATCAGGTTGAGATGAGATGACCATCCACCCTCTGGCCCATTATTAAAGAAACCAAAACGTGTTTTGTCAGACCAAACCAGTGAAAATAGGAAGACCAAAAAAGATCACATCAAAAGCCCAAATTACCTCGCATTTAGTTTTTAATTCGTGAAATTTGGCCAATAGTTTGAGGTGCTTGTTTGTTATCCTCGTAATAACCAGCTCGGGCAAACCGCAAAACGTTCCCCTTCAGCATGAAAACATGACAAGCAAGGCCGCTCATTTCACGTCAGACCAGTTCAAAAATTAATGAACCGGAATGTGAACTTCTCCCTCGCCCAGACCCTGCCTAGCTCCATTATTGCTAAGACTCATTCTTTCATGGATGATTCTTTAATAGGCGGATAATAGCTTTTAGCCTCTAAGGTCATAAAGTTGCCCGTATTTTGAAAAAATTATCTAGTAGCAATCTATCTGCAGACTGGGTAAGAGGATGCATTTTTTCTGCTGTCGCGGTATTTCTTGGTGCTATAATTTAAAAAGGGAAGAAAGGATGGTCTTAACAATTACAAATTTTCCCTTGCCGAGCATGGATGTAATAGGTTGTCCCTCCAATAAGGTTGGCGATCAAGGGTATAAGAAGCCCTCGTAAACCTCTAACAAATCGAAGATGGCGGTAAGACGAAAACGAACAGATCATAACATCAGGCAAAATGACCGACTATAAATGTATTAGTATTAAGAAAAGAGAAAAAAATAAGAATAAAAGGAATCAGCACCATCTATTTACCACATCTATTGTACAATTTCTAGGTGCAAGGATATTGAAAGATTTTTTCTAGAAATTTATGGGTCGATTCCGATCATCCTAGTGGGCCTATCCTCCCTTTTTTCGTCTATCAGAAATGTATCCTCATTTAACCAACGTCTGCTTTGTTTTTGAAAGCCTTGTTGGAAACTATTGCCTCACCCTTTTTATAGACAGTGAAATAGACGCGTCTGAGAGTCAGAAGCAGCGTTGAAAGTTTGCATGATCGTAAATGAGCAAACTGCAAACAGGAGGATTTTCCTGGTGGTAACTGTCCATGTTTAGACACTGAACTTTGATACAAAAAACTGAAGATTTGTAAGTTTTTCACAAGACCTTTGGTGTGATGAGCACGTAGTTACGATGATTCTGCTTTAATCCACAAGCTAAAAATCGTCTGATAGGCCAAAATACAAAACTACATTCTACGCTGTGTGTAAAATCCTTAATTCATGCCCAAAGTTCCCTAGGTTGTAGGTTGTGAGGAGTGGGCTTCTTAACCACTTTGCGATCCGCGGTCCGGGACCAATACTGGTATATTGTGCAATCTCCACCGTTGTTTAGTGCCCATCATTAAGCCTAAGGCTTTTACCAGAAATGGAAGGCATTGCCCCTGGAGATAGCGGAATAGAGAATACCAATCGATGTAAACACTGAAGTTGACCAAAAGCCGACACTCGTCGGATAGAAACTAAAAATTAATTTATCGTTAGTCCGAGTGACACAACCGATGTTGCATATAAAATCATTAATATAGGCCATTTTTTAATGGCTGTTGGTTAATAGAAGTCAGTTTCTTTACGACCTTGATAGGAAATAAAAGCTCGTGAATTTTCATTAGGTCTTTCGGGTGATGTCACCAGTACATATGAATTTATGGTTTGCTTGAATGCCACTATCAATACTGTACGTACAATCCCTAATTTAGGACCGAGGTTGTAGGTTCTTTATGACCTAGCGCACCACGACCAATATTGGTCTATTGAGGAATCTTCATCATCGTTTAAAGCTCTTCATTAGGCTTTTTACCATATCCCAAATCTTTGTTGAGGGATACCGTGTCCCAGGAGTTGAAAGCCTGCATAGGACTTCGGACCAACAGAGGATATTTTCCACTCTTCCTGTTTTCAGTGGTAATATCTGCCCCAGGTTTTTACTATCAATATAGCCCTAAATTTAATAGTTGCTTCTGCTAATGGGTCTTTTATGAACCCTTTTCATCCCTCCATCTTGGGATGCATTCACATTGAATCGAGGATTTATTCCTGGCAAGTTGTATGTCGCAAAAGTGACGTTTTCGAAACAAAAAACTACATTTGGAATTAAAAATTATAAATCTATACTCAAATAACATTTAATGGTTGGTCTTTGTTGGTCTGTGAGTGGATAACCATTCTTCCAAAGCTCTGGGTCCGTCTATTCTCCGTGATTAGAGGGTTCCCTCTGTTGCCATATTCAATTACGTATAGTGCGGTCCCAGTGTGGTATAGAATATTCCAGTGAAGATGGCGTGAAGCCCAAATGTGCGCAAGCGATAAGAGACTGTACATTTTGTTGGAAGTCAGTAGGTCTTTATCAGGTCATGTTCTTTAAAGCGTAGTAATTATAACCTAAAATAAAGGTTTAACCAAATAATTAAAATTTATTTTTGTTGTAAGGGTTATTGTTAAGTACGGTTTAAATTTTGTATGTTTTAACGTTTTCTTTATTTCATAAAATAAAAAAGTAACATGCTTATGAAAATGTTGGGTTTGAGACGAAAGCGTAGGAAACCAATAATGTCGAATTGTCTATTTTTGGACGGTAGGCAGTTTAGGAGTGGTTATTTCGTCCAGGGCTCCCGAGACCAATGGCGTCGGCGGCCTGGAGAAAGGGTGAGCCCTGGAAAAAACACTGGAATGTGTCTCGCCCTGGAGTTGGTAGTTTATTTTCCGAGAGAGCCGTTTAGGTCGTGACTTATGGAGGGGGCATACATCACTGGCCGACGATAAAACACATCTGAGGTAATTATATATTTGAATATCGGGATAAAAACTAAGTGATGCTCGGAAGCCCCCCTGTGGACAGCTTATTTCCATTGCAGATCCACGGTCATATTTTTCCAGAGGGGACAAAAACTCCCTCTGCGGCGTTTATCGGGTTGTCAACGGGCTTGATGTTTTGTTTCGATTGCCTCGTTATACTCTACACACGTGACATCAACATTCCTTTCGACCTTTTATTTTTTATGTTTGTTCTAAATAATTTCATCCAATACAGAAACTCTGAAACTATATTTTCAGCTCATACTTCCTCTTTTCATCAATTATAGAATGTTTCTTCTTCTACCAATAAATAAATCAATCTTTTATTGCCTTTTTCTTCACAGAAATATACATTTTTATGTAATAAACTTGCCCTATGATAGATAAAGTTAAGGCTAGTTATTTTCAGGACCTTTCTGAACCAAATCGAATTAGTGAAGTTACCAATCCCTTGTCTTGTTCTTGCCCTCCTTCCTCTTCTCTTTACTATTGGCGACCAATTCCTGGTTTTCTTTGACTACCTGAGGGGTTTTCTTGACTATCCGACAATAAAAAATTATAAAAACCATTTCCCATTGCCAGTACGGATCAGGAAGAACATGTACGATTAATAAAACATAAAAGATGGAAAATAATGTATATCCTGGGTAAAAGAACAGGCAGGAAATTCTGGTAGTGAAATAGCTGATCTAAAAGTTAAAGAAGTGTCTACGAATGATACATTGACACCTGAAATGGAAAGAAAGCCTATTTCCGCACTACAGAAACAAATTAGAAAAAGGACAATCGAAAAATGGAATCAAGAATGGGAAAACAGCAATAAGGGGGAATGGACAAAAAGTTGCTTTCCGTCTATCAAAGATAGGATAATAACTGGCATCCAAATAAATTTTAAGACAACACGGACACTCAAACCACGGCAAACATAAAGCGTATCTTAAGCGCTTTGGTTTAGAAGAAGACGACCAATGCAGCAATAATTAGATAAATAAAATGGCTTCAATTTAATTGAATACAAAATCATAAATTTCAATTAATTTAGGTTTTTAGTTGAGATACAAAAGTCAGTGTCACGAGCGGGATTCGAACCCACGATCTTCGGCTAGACAAGCAGCTGCTCTACCACTTGAGCTATCGTGACTTCGATCCACTCGGACACTAACTTCCCATCTCAACCCCACCTTTTGAATTTTCCCTCCTTTTTGCCATTTTTNGGACATCAACTTCCTATCTCAACCCCACCTTATGAATTTTCCCTCCTTTTTGCCATTTTTCAAATGTCGTGTAATCGGATTGGATTCTCGACGACAAATGAAATGGCCACGGAGAGCTTTAGTGAAGTGTACTTCATTTTAATCATTAAATCCACTAATTTCGCGGTAGCCGAGTGGTTCATTTTTCACGATAACCCCCCCCCAATTTGAACACACATATAAGAATTGTCACCATGGCTAATATGCATAGCTCATAACGCCAAAAAAAAGAAAAAAAAAAGTATACTGGTTGAATAAATTCCTCCTTGTTCGAGATTTGAAGTGATTGAACATCTTTCATAGGATTTATTTAATATTTTTATTTTTATTGCATTTCAAACTATCGAAACCAGTCAAATGACCTAAAACTGAACAATCAAGAGTTCTAAAACATACTTAAAATTTCAGAATTTAAAAACTTAACATTAGAAATGTGTGGTGATTGGTGACCGTTAGTCGATGATTATTCAGAAATCGTGAGATGCGGTCTGGTGTGATGTAGGTTTTAGAAAAACATTTTCTTTATCGTGCCAACGTTTCGATCTTTATTGAGATCATCTTCAGGGCCTGGGATTTATAAACATTGTTTAAATTTAACAAAAACATGAAGGATGTGGAAAAAAGTGAATTTATATAATGCAAAAAAATAATTTTTATATTCAATCAAATTATTCTACTCACTTCCTCAAAACAGAAATATCTCACTGGCATTCTCAACACGACACGCAAGAATGGCACAATTACGCAGAAAACAAACACTTTGAGTGAGTAGAAATACTTTGATTGAATATAAAAAAATATTTTTTTTACATTGTATAAATTCACTTTTTTCCACATCCTCATGTATCGGACTCTTGAAGCAACCGAATGCTTTCAATTATGGATACAAAGTCTGGAGTACTCCTTACATATCCTGCGTATGACCAAAATTGGAGTATGGCTCAGAAGATAAGGATTTAAGCGCCGTGGCTTAGGGAAAAACTAAGCCTTAAGGATTATAACATGCCCCAATTGATGCCTTTTTCGCACTTTAGTGTTCTGAAAACTATGATGCAATTGAAGAGAGATGGAGATAATGTGTCAACTTGATTGAAGCCTTTATTAAACTTGAAATATTCTCTTATTATGTCCATTTTTTATTATGGCCTTAACTCTATATTACTACCTACAGCTTCTTTAGAAATTGGTAAACCTAGTGTGTTTGAATAGTCTACAATATGACCCTCTATTCCAAATTTGAAGTAATGAACATATCCGCCGATAGCTATAGATGCAGTTGGGACTACAAGGATTCATTTTCTAATTGTGGAAAACATCATATATGCCCTGGTAGTGCAAAGGTTCTTCACAAGTTTGGTTGATCCGAGAATGGAATAATGGAAGCACATGTCGAACTGATCGACATATCACTTTTTCGGGTCTACTGACACGTTCTAACTAAAGCATGATCTTTACACATTTCAACCTTCATTTGCAGAATCAATCTAACCGAGCTTCTCGTTGAAGTAGGTGAGAAAAGTAAACGAGCAAAAATGGTCGGAACTAGTAATATGATGTGTCGATCAGTTCAAGATGTGCTCAACTATATTGTCTCTACTAGGGCGAAAGTTTGGAAAAGTGTGCAATTGTCGTGAAAAAGGGAAGGTCTTTAGGTGTCCAAAAGCCATATTTTCCTTTATTTTTTTTTCGAAGATTCTAAAATCTTGAATAATAATTCTTAAATTGACTTGCTAGCTCATATGAGTCAAAAAAGACAAACAGTTCCCAATATCATAATATAAAAACTTCTCTTTAAATAAGAACAGTATATTATTAAAATCTTTACGTTCGGTTTTTTCAAGAGGTTACGTAGCGCTTGGTCCGTTCGTCGCATGTTCTGCAGCAATAGTAGACGACTGTTTCGCTTGGTCCGCCGGTCACTTTTTTGCAGAAGGTGCACTCGAAGTGGTACAGCTTTGAGTTGAACACGGATGCCCGGTTGTCCTTCCCATTGCAGTCGCCACGCTCCAACTTCTTCTAAAACTCATTTTGATTAGGGCGAGTCAACAATTATGACTCTTTAAGAGTTAAAGTTAGATTTAATTTTATGCGAGGACAAATTATTTTCTACCTAGAAAATTTAGCACCTCGGACTGGATGGTTTAGTTAAGAGGTTAAGCATAAAGGTACAAGGGGGAAAATCTCTTTTCGACCTTGCGCTCCAAGACCAATGATGGCATATTGTGCAATCTCCTTCTCTGTCTAGAGCACTTCGTTAAGGAACTTAAGGCAGCTTACTAGATCCAAAAGCTTTCTTAAGGGGTCTGGTGTGTATCATCAGGCCTTATTATATCGCCTCTGGTGTCTGCAGTCAGACTATTATTCCTGTTAGTTCTTTCTAGGATAGACTATTATCCGAGCAGGTCCTTGGTTTTGTAATTGTGCCGTTTGTTGTTAATCCTTTAATGATTTTTTTCGCATGCTTCTGTTCTGTTGAATCAATTAAGATTTGACTGTTGGATCTCCGTTTGGGGCAAGTTGTTATACCGCAAAAGGCCTCAGGGCCGATAGGTGTGCCGACGGAGCTTTCCGTCGCCAATTTGTCGTCCTTCTCATTTTCTTTCTGCCATGTTTAATCTAGAAGTAATCTGCACAGTTCCATAATAGTGCTTCTAATGAAAGTTTGAATCATTTTACTCCAGAAATACCCTAGACCCTAGACCATTGCTCGCAATACGTGGTGGTCAGAAGAAATAAAATCAGGAAAATATCCGGTAGAAAAAAAAAAGCTTAGAACTTCAAATCCCTCTCGTGGAATATAATAAAAATGGGAATCTCGATAAAAACTACAAAACTGAGAGTTCGTCAGGCCAAACTGACTTCGGTCCAAACACTGAAACAAGACTGAATATGACGAGACAGCTTCGAACAGACCAAAATGATCCTGTACACTTGGGTTTGATGAAACGACACAAAGAAACATGGCATATTCACACTTTCTAATTATATCCATCAAGTTAAGCACTTGTAACTGCTTTTACTTTGCTCTGGGTGATTGGTGATTCATACATGTTTCAGCTTAGATTTTGATATTTGAATTCTTTTCCAAGGTTAAGTATCAACTGCAGCTCGTACTGTAACTTCATATGCCTCTTGCTTGACCTTCCCTCTCTGGGGTATTATAACGTTCATCCCCTACATAACATCTTAAAAATTCGCGTGGTATGCAAGGTTTTCAGTATCTTCAATAATGTTCCAACCATTTCATATCTTTGATGCTATTTTTATTGTTTACGAAAACAAATCGTGGATCGTCTATTGTGACAGTTTTGACCTATATGCAGAGTGTTCTTAGAGGTTCTCCTACAAAGGAATTTTAATTTTATGATTTGTCTTCTGCATTTTAATGGCTAGAAGGTCAAAATTGATGTAATTATATCAACTGACATAATAAAGCTAATAAAATCGAAAATGTACGAAGAACAAGAATCGCAGTAATGGTGTACCAATGGCTTAACTAATGAACCTGATTTATTTCTGGATGTTGTCAATGTGTTTGTATGTACTAGGTGCAAGAAGAGAATCACATGTAAAAGATAATACAAAACAAACATACTGTCGAACTGTGCATAGCTAATATAAACGCTGTGATGCAATCCACCTCATGAGAAAACTGGTCCTTTTAACTAACTTAAAATAAGAAAATATGACCAATAAATGGTTTAAGCTAATGTGCTGCAGATTTGTAGGAAACATAAAAGCTCAAGTAACAAATAAAACCTCCTCAAAAAGCTTATTTGTTCATAGCTGGTTCATAATTATTATAAGATTTTTTTTTTGGCATTAATGCTTATGATTTGCCCTTTGAAAATTAAACCCGAACACGCGAAACCTTGAGTTTCTATCTGTACTAAAAAAATAAAGTTCTGAAAAAACAACAACAAAGGTTTACCTGAAAATCGTCATTAGCTTCGTCCATCGATAGCAAGTACCTGCTGTTTCACAAACATATGTTCCCATTTAATTTTTATTTTTGTTCTGTTACATTAAAAAAACCTAAATTCTCTCAATAAATGGCTTTAAGATTTTTTTTCTAAAAACTATACCTTTTATAATTTGAACTGTCAATAAAGATAAAGAATAATATAATTTAAATAAACAACGCCGAAGACTTTATATCCTAAAAACCCTTTTTGCTTGTCGTCTTTAAATTTTAAATATTGTCTATTACAATTATTTTTCATATGAAATATTAGGAAAATGTATTGTTTGCCGCCTTTGAAAAATATGATAATTTGCCCAATATTACTTTCTTTCTTGTTAAATTAGCAGATATAAATTTGGTTTACTCATTGCATTTTTTCAATATTATTGTTAGACAGAAAATAAATTTAGAGTAACTTACTAAATAAACTTAGAATGTATAAATTAATAAAATTAATAAAACAGTATATCAGTAAGGCATTAGATTGTGCTTTCAATTTACTTTTATCGAAATTAAATGTTATAGGCTTCCATGGGTCCATATTGTTGTGGTTTCAGAGTTATTTTCATGGTAGACAGTTTCAAGTAAAAATTAATATTTTTCACATTTTTTCATCTTTTTCACTAAAGATAAATTGTGCCAAGAACCTAATCAGTAGGGTGTTGGGTCTAAGTAACATTAAATTTTTGGAAGAGAATGTAAATATAAATATNTATAAGAAACGCACTGTGATCGCATGTACCTGAAAAACAAAGAAAGGAAGATTTTACTGGTTTTTTAGACTTATATGAGGTAACCTTTCTCGACCACGTTTTTAATTCTTATTGTAATTTTAGTTGTAGTTTTTAATTATTAATTTATGCAATTTAAATAATGTTTAGATACTGAGCCCCAAAAAACATAATGTACTTCTGTGCCCAAAACACCATGTCGTTTAATTCCCCATTAAGGTTTAAAGTAAGATATTCAATTTTTGTGTAATTTGTTTTTTTTTTCATGTTTTAATTGTTTTTTTTTATATGATAATAAAACAGGCCCTGAAGATGACAGTATAAAACTGTCGAAAGCTCGGCGAAAACCGAAAGGAAGTTTTTCTCTGTGTTTGACCTCTTCCGTAGATTCTCCGAAAAGACTTCATGCTTCCAGCAGGTCGATAATCTAGTTCATCGTTAAAAATTAATAATTCTTGGTCTAAATTTATCGGCGCAAAATCTGGAGTGTTTCAGGGTTCCTATTTAGGCCCTTTATTACTTTTCATCTTTATTAATGATGTTGCTGGTTTTCTCTTCTAAACGACTTGCTCTTTGCTGACGAGGTCAAGCTGTACCATGTAATTAATAATGATAATGGCTCAAAAATAGTTCAATCCTTTTTCAAATTTTATTGACTGGTGCTCAAAAAATGGACTTAAACTTAATTTTGATAAATGCTTTGCGATGTTATTTTTTAGAAATAATAAAAAAGTTAATTCATTCCATTTTGGTAACAAATTTGAACACAAACTGTGACCAAATTTAAAGACTTTGTTGTAACATGCCCTTGAATTTTACCAGCAAGTAACCAATATTACTAATGAGCCTTATAAATTTTTAGTATTTGTGAATCGCAATACTCAACACTTTAGAAACGTATTTACAAAAAAAAAAGAAGTTAAAAAAGAGTATGCTAGCCCTATCTGGTCACCCTATCAAAAGTATCTTTTTACCAAACCAAGTCCAAACTAGTTTTTAAAGATGCTGCTTTTAAATTAAAAATCCCTTCAATAAATACGTCTTATGTGCACTTATGCTTAACCCTAAACCTTATACTTAACCTAAATTCTGGGATTAATCCCCTTTCACCACATGGTAACAAGGACAGAGCAGAAAACCATCATTAGTATTGATAAAGAGAAACTTCCAACAGGAATAAAATTAAAATAGAGAGACAGCTACAAAATAATGAAAGACCATTCGGTACTCATGGCTCCGAGAGACATGAACAGGATGTTTGAATTTAATCAAAACTTCCAAATAATCTAGGTACCAAAAAAGAATGGGAACGAGAGGGAAACACCTCCTTTAAGAATGGCACCATCCTTTGGATCTGCTCCACAACACAAGAACACAAGATAGTGCAAGGGCATGAGTATTCGGTCCTTGAAACAAATCACACAGCATCTTCCAAGCTGAGATTCACGCAATCGAGAGATGTACTCAACTCGACCTGAATAAAGGGTACAAAAACAAGAACATAGCTATCATGTCAGATAGCCAAGCAGCCATCAAAGCACTAAACTCAAATATCATTAGTTCAAGGATGGTGCTGAACTGTAATACCAAATTAAACATATAAAGTATGTTATGTAAAGAAAAATAGCCTCTGCTGGGTCCCAAGGAGTAGCAGGCAACGAGAAAGCTGCTATACCGCTGATAGGACTTGAGCCCATCTGTGGCATAGGAAGCCACACTATCAATGAGTACCTCAGACAGAAAGACAAAAAGAAAATGAAGGAACAATGGAATCCACTCATTGGACACAATTAATCCAAGAACCTCCTAACAAATTTCGGAAGGAAATAAGTGACAGAATGTATCAAAGGAAGCAGGAAAAAACTGCAAATCCTAACAGAAGACTGCAAACTAAATGGTCATTTAAAGAAGATTGGAATAATCCAAGACGGCAATGCAGATTCTGCATAGAGGCAGAGGAGACACCAACACATCTACTATCAAACTGCGGAGCTACACTTGCCCGCAGAAGGAAGTGTTTTAGAATGTATAATGTGACCATAGAAGAGCTTCAACCACTGAAACCAGGCCTATTAATTAAGTTTCTTGATGAAATAGAACCTATGTGCTTTAGGCAGAGAACAGGGGATACAATAGCTCTTAAATGGCGCAGTATACTACACCCCGAATATTACATCTACATCTAACCTTAAACCTCTTACCTTTATACCTTAGAAAGGAGCAAACTCATTCACTTCACCTCTGTAGCCATATCAATAGCACATTTAATAGTCTCCAATTGTTAAGCCAAATCACTTTCAATGTCAGCTCTCACAAAACTCAAAATCCCCTCCCTTTCTCAATCCAAACTCAAAAATATAATTACTTACTTCACTACGACATTTCTAGAATTTTACCTGTTGGTAATGAGCATGCTATCATTGATATGTTTAACACAAACAAACTTGCAAGAAATTTTTCTCTGACTATAAAATTGTAAATAATTGTGTTTAATTTCTTTTCTTATACAGATGTATGCTTTTTTTTAAATATGTTATATATGTTTGTGTTATTTTTATCTATATTTTTATATGAACAGCATTTGTCTTGGTATTTTTATAACTTTAGATTTGTTATTGTTGTTGTATCTTTGTCAATGAGCTTCTTGTCTGTCTGTGTTAACAAATAAATAAATTAAGGGTTAAGAATATGTCCTCGGTTTAATGGGAATGAAGTCGAAAAGAGAGACATGTGGGAAAGAACTCTATCCAGGAGTGCAGGAACATTTTGGTCTATCTGAAGTTGTAAGGCTTCTCGTCATGTTCAGTTCTGGGTCAGTGTATAACAAATGGAAACTTAAAACCTTTCAAACTACGCGCCTTCTAAAGATGTCGCAGCGAATGAACAACAATTAAGGTCATCTGGAGGTATTTTACCATATAAGCCAGTTTATACTGAACCTTGGAAAAGCACCCAATTTTCAAAAAAGAAGTTTTGAAACAAGGTGAATCATCACTCACACAGAGAAAAGTGAAAAGAAGAGTTTAAAGATGTTAGCTTGCAAAGACGTCCACCGGATACAGGGAAGGACATGCATAATTCCATGTTTTTAGCTCATTCAGTTTAACTTTAGTTAATACTTTCAAATTATTAAGCACATTCTTTAGTGGCTAATATGTACATTCATCATCACGATAACTTTAGTTTTTCCTAAGTGAAACTTGCTTAAAGTACCATTAAATATTCCATCGATTATTGACTTGAATTGATTATTGAATTGAAAATTATGTTTTTTCCGAATTCACCACTGCTTTTATCATACATGCACCATTTTTCTCGAGAGCTCCTTTTCCAATTAACTTTTAACCTTTTCACACTTCATCGTCGTAACTAAATCGACTCGAGTGTAATAAAGAAACTCCATTTGAGTGAAAGGGGAACGATAAATAGTCAAGATGGCCGACTAATTATTCAAAAACAGAGAATACAAATGTTACCCGGCTTGTAAATGTATACACACATTTAAGGGTTGTTGATGGGTCGGTGTTGACGGGGGGGCAAGGCGTATATCAACCCTCTCTGCCTGAAAATCAACCCCCCGCCTCCTTTTAAACTTATAAATTTCAAGACTTCATAATTATTCTTTAAATTGACGGCGAATCGTATGTCAGGTGTAACACATTTTTCTTTAATATTAAAAGTTCCTTAAGATATAAGTAGTTCAAAGTAGACAGGAAGTACTAAGCGAATTGTCAAGTAGACGGATTGTTTTGTTGGGCGCATAAAATGCAGCAACGAGGATTTTTCTTGGGATTAAGGATTGAACGTTTTGAATGCGACGGATGAATCGCATATTCAGGCCAGAAGTCCATATCGCCTACACTATGGTTTTATAAACCACTCTTGAGTTTTGAGATGTAAATCAAACTTTGATCAAGAGGTCGTTCAACAGCCTTTTATAATGTCAGAACTTCGTTGCGTTTTAGCCATGTCACGTGTGGGGTTCGTTCATCGTTTGTGGAAGTAAGGTCGGAGACATTCGTCTAGTTTAAGCTCGTCATGACTTTCGTAGGACCCCTTACATTCACTCAGTCACACACTCACTCACTCATGCACTCTCACTCACTAACACCCTTCACTCTCACTCTCACTCTCTCTCTCTATCTATCTATCTCTCTATCTATCTATCTCTATCTCTCTCTTTCCCTCACTAACTCTCTCTCTCTTTTATTTTTTTCTCTAACATATTTCCTTCATTCACGATCTCTTACTCACTCTTTCTCGCTCATTATCTCTCACTCACATTCTCTTTTCTATTTCTTTCGCTCTCACTTTCAGTCATACACACACTCTCCCACATCCACTATCTTCACTCACTCTTTCTCAATCCCTCT